ATTGCTGTCTCCCAATATCTGTCTTAACATTCTCAATTTTTTGTTTTGTTTTGTGTTTTTAGGAAGGGAGAGGGAGTTCGAGGAGGCGCAGAAGAAGAGAGAGAGAATCTTAAGCAGGCTCCATACCCAGGATGGAGCCCAGCGCAGGGCTCGATCTCATGACCCTGAGATCATGACCTGAGCAGAAATCAAGAGCTGGGTGCTTAACCGACTGAGCCACCCAGGCACCCCAACATTTTGTTTTAAAAGCTAGACAGGCTTAACCATATCTTTATAGCAATAAAGTCTGATTTTGTTCATGTGCTTATGTGTTCTCTAATGTGTTTCACTTTAATAATACATAACGATGAAAAACCGCATAAAAATCTGAGAAAGTATTCAAAGCCTTACTTCACTGGGAATGACTACATTCTAGATATTAAAGGACAATTAACTTGCTAAGAACAAATGCTCTGAGGCTGTTTGTGAAAAAGTGTTGGAGTGGTATCAGGACATCCATGATGCCTACATAAGGTGCCCTAGGAGGTAACAGAACACTGCCAACTAGGCAAAAAAAAATTACTCTAAGAATTTTATTCTTTCCAAAATTGTAATCAAGTAAATAAACTGAGTAATCATATTTATTAAAAGTACATAGATCATGGAAGTATTTTTATATCTGCTATCTCTGGGAGGTAGGTTCACCAGTCTGAAACTCAGCCAAGTGAAGTCCTTGTAGTGACAGTTGCTTGTGTTGGGGGGAGAGGGTTGAAAGGTCAGACCTCTAAAATGACAGTGACAATGAAGGCAGGAGTGAGTCAAGAGCAAGCAATAGCAAAAGTTGGTCCTAAAGTGGCAGCTGAGAGAAGAGAAAGTTGTGGGCTCACTGGCTTGGTGCCTTTCGATGAGGACACGAAAGGGACTGAACAAGGAGTCAGGTAAGATTTGCTAGTGTGGAGAGAATTAAAGGGTTCTGTGAATAGAAAATCAGAAAGCTTGGAATAGAATTAGAAAGCTGGAGAGTTCTTCTAAGGAAGGAAGTGGCTATGTTGTACGTGCTACTGGGGGAGGGGATTCGGAGCCGTTACTAGTATTTAAACACCTGCCCTAATTAGATGTGTTCATCAGATGGCAGTGCGTTGAACTGTGACAGACATTCCAGATAAGGGGGAAAGGCCCAGGGTTAAAGTTACTTTGTAAATCCTAGAGTGAGAGGGAGACTCTGTGGCATAACATTATGGGATATGGGTTCTCATCCCATGAGCTCTGGAAATCAAATAGATCTGTGATGGTTGACAAATGTATTAATTTGACTGGGCCACAGGGTGGTCAGATGTTTGATCAAACATTATTCTGGGTGTTTCTGTGAGTGTGTTTTTGGATGAGATTAATATTTCCATTGGCAGATTAAGTAGTTGCCCTCCATAACGTTGGTGGGCCTCATCCAGTCGGTTGAAGGTATATAAAAACAGACTGACAGACTCCCCTGACCCGCCAACCCCAATGAGGGTAAATTCTTCCTGCCTTTGGACTTGGAAAGGAACCACACCATTGGCTCTCCCAGGTCTCCAGCTTGCCGACTCACGCTGCAGATATTAGGACGTGCCAACCTCCATACACATGGGAACCAATTCTTTACAATAAAATCTCTTACATATACATACGTAATATTAACTGAAATAGTTTCATACAGGATTGAGCTCAGGGCCTGGCACATAGTGCTCAATAAATGGAAGTCATTATTTTTATTATTATAGAAGGCTCCATTTTGAGCAAAAATCCAAGTGAAACAGTGCCTAAAAATGGTGAGGAGGGTGGTATGAAAGTGAGTAGGAGTTGTCAAAGCTCAACCTAGCCAACAGCAAAGTGTCCCTTAGGTCTTTCCTTCTAGCTTTCTTTCTTCTGTTGTCATTAAAGTTACTGTTTTTCATCACACTCATGGAACTCTTTGTCTGGGAAAACATAGCTGAACCGCTTTCTAAAACCCTAATTAAAATCTTGTTAAAAATCTTCCAAATACGGGGCGCCTGGGTGGCTCAGTAACTGTCTGCCTTCGGCTCAGGTCATGATCCCAGGGTCCTGGAATCAAGCTTCATACTGGGCTTCCTGCTCAGCGGGAAGCCTGCTTCTCCCTCTCCCACACCCCCTGCTTGTGTTCCCTCTCTCCCTGTGTCTCTGTCAAATAATAAATAAAACCTTAAAAAAAAAAAAAAAGACTTCCAAATACATATCACTCTTTCTTTACTTAATTAAACACAGTGCATATTACAATGCGGGCCTTCTGATTTGGGATTTTGCAGAGCTATTAGATTATTATTGAAAATATAAGTAACCACTGTAACATACTATATATGTATTTTCAAAATTAGATCCCTGATAGCAACTTATTTTTTCATCGGTCTTTTGTAAAATCGAGTGTGGCATCAATTCCAGCTTGCTGAGTTTTGGCTAAAGTTTGACGGTAAAAATCCCCCTCTCTTTGACAGTGGTAACTTATAAGGTAGAGAATAAATTAAATTTCTTCATTTTATATCCTTAAATCTTCTCTCAGGGTAGGTAGGAAGTATTGTGCAGAAACCAAATCTACTTCAATGTAAACATTCCATTTAGCAACCAGTTGTAACTATCCACAGAAGAAGGAGAGTTTCTGAAATTCCTAATTTGGGAGTGGGGAGGGGCAGAGAGGGAGAGAGAGAATCCCAAACAGGCTCCAAGTCCAGGGCAAAGACTGACATGGGGCTCAATCCCATAATGCTGAGATAATGACCTGAGCCAAAATCATGAGTCAGACACTCAACCGACAAAGCCACCCAGACACCTCACCTATTTAAAACAAAAAAATAATAACAACTACTTCCTTGTGATGAGGACCTAAGTAACCCAGTGTGTGGATTACAGTTATGGCCTGGAGAACAGGACAAAGTTCTACCATCTCCAATCTAAAGGCACACCACACTGCTTAGATCCCAAAATAATTTAGGGTTTGACTGTTTTATTTTGTCTACTTTCTCATGGGTGGTGGTGGTGGTGGTGGGAGTGGGGAAGGGTGGGCTTGGAAAAGAAGGAAGCTGTGTCTCTTACTGCAACAACACAGGTTTGCAGCTCAATCTCCTTAATTATTACAAAAACTCTCCCTTCCCAAAATTTGCAATGTGCTTTGGGAAACCCCACATTTATTCAATGAAACAAAACACTATGAAAAATACAGCTCTTATTACATGCTAGCACTGTTCTAGATGCCAAAGATACAGACACTAGTCCATAGTCCCAAGAGCTTGGTCTAGTGGGAGAAACAAACATGTAAGCAAACAATCACAACATAGTGAACAATTAGTGAGTAACAGATGTCGCTCTAAGAAAACAGGTACAACTTGGGGGCAATAAGACTACAGAAATGCTAACAGGCTGCCTACAGGATGCAGGTGGCCTGTCCCAAGGATAAGTATTTTTAAAGCACAAACTCAATTTCCGGACTAAAACAACTTAATTTCTGAACGTGAGAACGTTTATGTTAAGGTTCTTATACGTTATATACGCACAGAACAATAACCTACACAAAGGGAAATTAGCTCAGTTTGAGAACGTGATTCATCATCATTCACACCTGCTCCAGTCAAGTCCCTCCCAAAATAGGCATTACATTGAGGAAAATGTGGTAGCAACGGTAAGGTATTAGGACAAAGAGACTCCTGTTGCTATACCAACAATATAAAATAGTATGCATATTTCCGGACAGATTTGTTAGATCCTAAATTGTCCCCCCTTTTTAAACTATGTTAAGATGGATACTGAATGGGGAGTAAGGCCCTCAACGCTTGCAGTTTCCATATTTATTACCTGAAAATCTCCAATGTACAAAGGCCAATGTGATTATTTTTGGAAAACAAATGAAAATCACACATTTGGATTCGGGATTTCTGTCATTCATTCAAGTCATGATCTGCAAAGCTACCTTTATACCACAACTAACTTTCCACCGCTTCTAAGAAAAGAGCACATGAAAAACTCAAGATTACAGCCTTCCAAAACTTGAAATATAAAGATTTAACGGCCCAACAGTTAACGTTCCCTTATTACCATTTGACATTTCCCGGTTTATCATTATATTTAGTACTCTTCTGTAATATCCAACCCTCTTCATCTAGCAAGGTCAAAAGCTTCATGAGCAGTGTTTTATAAGCTGCCTACGGAGACAAACCCTGTGAAACCTGAGGATGCCACACCAACAACAGAATGCAGGTCATCGTGACACGGCCGACCACTCTGCAAAGTCAAAATCTCAGTTCATTTTACGCTGACAGCGCTTCTTTCCAGAACTTTCCCCTCCCCCAACAAAAGAACAGGGGAGTGTCTATTTCACAAGGTGTCTGGCACTACTTTCTTTATAAGGAGGCTTTTATCTGTTTCCTAGAAGGTCACCTTGGTAAGCCGGGGGCTCGGGAAGGAGAGCTTGGGTTTGCGGAATCAGGTCCTCATCCGGTGACCTCCAAGCCCCTGAGCCTGGGCGGAACCTAGAACGACCACCGCCCCTCCCACCACGTAGGGAACATTCCCTCGCACTGCCACGCCCAGTTGGGAAGCGGGTTTCCCAGGAGGACGCCCCCCCCCACCAAGCGCTGATGGTGACACCGGCCACGCCCGGGTCCCCCGAGTTCGGAAACGCTGAGTGATGACCCCACGTGGGCACCGAGGGCTGGGCCCCGACGGCCTCAGGCCCCCGCCTGTTCTGACCAGCCCGCACCGCACCCCGTCCACCGGGGAACTTTCCAGAACCCCGGACTCTCCGGGAAGTCCCGAGTCGCAGAGCAGAAGGGAACTTTGGCTCAATTACTGAGCACCTACTCTGGGAAGGGCGAGCGCGGGGCCGGGCTTGCACGCAGAGACCCTTGAGGCGCTGCGTCGGGAGGCGCCTGCGCTCCACCCTCCGGCCCGGCCCTCATCCTCCAGGAGGACCGCCAGCGGGGCGAGCAGGGACGGGGACAGCCGCCCCCAGCCCGCCTAGTCCCCTCGGCCGCCTTTACCTCGCCCGACCCCACCGAAGCCGCCGAGCTAAAGTTAGAAAACAGCGCGGCGCGCGCTCACGTGCGCTCGTTCGCGGGCGGGGGGCGCGGTTCGGGTGAGTCATGGCCCCGCCCCTAGTCGCCGAGGACGCGCTGACGTCAGCCGTTTCCCCGAAGGGTGACGTCAGCGCGCCTCGCGGAGGCCGCGAGGCCGCCCGTAGAACGTTCACTGAGTTTCGATGCCTTAAAGGGACCAGGCGTTGGATCGTGAAAGGTCTGAAGAGGTGATTCCAGTCACCCAACTGTGGGGTTAGAGCCCATCTTCTATCCTTTGTACTGAGAAGTGTTGACTGCTGAGATGGTGATGAAAAAAAGGAGAGCGACTGAGCCTCATTGGAGGCTGCTGAATGCCCCAGAACCTCCTCCTGGAAGCCCTCCTTGATTAACCAGAATCTGATCTTGACCCTAAAGTCAGAGTTTTCCATGGCCCTTGACTCCCTACCCCTTCACTTACAAGCCCTCCTCATATGCTTATATGTCTGTTGGTGGGGAAAAGCTGTGGTTTGAATATTTATGTAATCCATCAGTTTGGGCCAGCTTGTCCCACTTAGCACTGTTTTTTTACTGTATCCTAAAGTGCTCTTAGTCATGCGATCTGTAACAAGTTACATAACTCTGGATGTGACACTGGCAAACTGGTCTCCAGACCCTCCTCTGATGCTAATGTTGCCTGTGGAAGCTTCCGCAACAAGAGCCCTGTCTGACACCGGGCCACACAACGCTGTCCCAGACAACCTCACAGAGAGGTTTGCGATGCTAAGGTTTACCGTTAGACAGCTATTTTCATTACCCTCCTTGTGCCCCTGGTTTAATCCCCATACTTTCTCTCTGAGGTAGGTGTTATTGTCCCTATTTTGATATGGATGACGAAGGAAATGGAGGCACAGCAAGATTAAGTATGTTTCCCTAGGTTACACAGCTAAAGAATGGCAAGCAGAAAACCATCCCCAGGTCAGGGGGACTCCCAAGTCCAGGTTTTTAGGGATAAAGGTGGGCTGTGAAATACGTCTTATTTTGTATGTTGAGTCCCCTACAACCAGTTTTCCCCTTATAACCCAAGCCCAGGGCCTCTGCACAAGTAACAACTGCATACCAGAAAGTGCCCAGAGGACGCCCGGCCCCGGGGCCTGTACAAGACTACAGCGAGCGGGGAGGTGCCTGTCCTTCGCTTGCAGGACACTGAGAGTGAGTGCCTCCTTGAGGTTTGCACCCAGGGCACCTCACCCCCCTCACTCTAGTCCCAGCCCTACCAGGCCTACCCTGGACTCTGTGATTCCTCTCCTGAAACTGGAGAGGCCGTCCTGCCTACAGCGTCGTCCCTGCACACCAACAGCCAGCTCCTCCCTAGTGCGTTTCTCCCGCCATAATCCCCTCCCTATAAAACCACCAAAATTTCCCATTGGAACGGCATGTTTGTGCCAAAAACAAATTAAGAGTCAACAAGAGCTTCTCAAAGTTTTGAGCAAAATGCAGGTGCCTGTGTGGGTGAGCTGCTGTCACTCTTCTCTTCTGACAGTCGTGACCGGTCCTTGGCTGAGTGTCACTCCCACATCCTCAGAGTCCATGGGCCAGGTCTAGCAGAAGCACCTACTTTCCTGCAGCTCACCCCTCAGAAACATTAGAAACTGACCCATCTTCCCTTGGACCCAGTCTCCAGCCACTACGGAGCTCTCCTCTGTGTGTCCCCTGCTCTTGTCCTCTGGGTCATACTGATGGATCAATCCCTGTTTGTTGCTCTTTTTGCTCTGCTGGGTTCTCTGGAGCCTGTGACTGAACATGTCCTGTGTGCTTCTGGCAAAGCCTCAGGAGGAGATGGAGGAAACCACAAGTGGCCTTAGCTTTAGGGGGTGGGGTTGGGGGTTGGGGGACTATGGGGGCAGCTTCTTCCTCTGTGGGGCTGGACACACAGACATGGCAGCTTAGAGCAGTAGGGTACCTTCAGGCCAACCAGTCTAGCCCTGTTCTCTACCTAAGGGAACTAAGGTCCAGGTGGGGTGACCCACTTGGACTCGCATGGCCTGTGAAGTAGAGAGTCTTAATCAACTGACCTTGTGCCCACTGCTCTTTCCACGGATCACAGCTCTGTGACGAGTCTCCAGTGGGACATGGGCATTACATGTGCATGATAAACTGTGACATGTCACATACGTGCTGAAACAGAAAACAAACGGTGACATGAGGTAAATACAGAGATGAAATCCTAGAGGCAAATCGCAGAACGCAGTTCCCGAAGACCCCTGGCTCTTCCCTCCTCCCCTTTCCTTCTCTGTCCCATCCGATCTCAAGTCGGGTGAGGGGGTGATTCCTCAGACCTAGGAGCCATCGCCCATTGGAAGGGCAGACTGAGTGGGATTGCCATTTTTAAACCTTCAGTAATCAGGATCTGGTGTGTCATTTCAGATTTTTATTTTTTTTTAATCTCCCAGCCTTCCCTTCCCATTATTTTCCTATCCCATAAGCCCCATTAAATGTCATTAAGAACCATAAATGCGACTGGCCACTCATGTGGGAGGATTGTCATCTCTAGCAAACAGCCCCAGCGAAGAAAGGAGCAGGACTCCTGGGTCTGTTCCCACCCGTGCTTCTGACTCACTGGATGACACACAGCAAAGTGTTGCTTTTGTTGGGGGAGACATGCGGGGCATCCCACACGGCTGCTCCTCTCACAGAGAGGAAGGATTGGGCAGAAGCCCCAACCACAGCTGCTCCCACCACAGGGGAAGCAGGGGTTCCTGAGTGAATCCAGCTCCACGGTGACTGCTTAGCAATGGCCCGCGGGGTCAGCCTGGAACGCTGTCCCCCGTGAGCACCTGCCCCCGATGGGGCCAGTAAAATGGCTTGGACTGGATTATGGCACTTACCCTTCATGACCTCGTTCTCACTGGTCAGGAATGCACCCTAGTGATTCCTAACTCCACTCTAATGACTTGTTGTAGATCTGCCCTCCAGGAATTTGTTTGAAATTTTCTTTATTTCTGTTTCAGCCTATACACTCTTCTCAGGCAATGAGTAAGTTTACCGTTTATGTGAAAGCACTTCAGTCCTAAAAACCAGAAAGTGCTATATAAGAGTTTTTAAAAAAAACAACAATAATAATTTAATAATTATCATATAATTGTGTATTTAATAAATGTAAGTATATTATAATTTGATGATAATAATTCAGATGGTTTCACAGACTTTCAGTCACTCACCATGTTTGACTTTATTTCCGTGCACACGCACCCTTCCCCCCATCAAACAGTATTTCTCAAGGGAATGGGGCGCTGTGGTGGGTAACTCCCGTCCCTTGCAAACTTTAGGTAAATACATTGAGTGTCCTCTGTGGGCTGGCCATCTAGGACCAACATCTAGTACGTGCTCAATAAATGCTTGTTGGGTGGATGGGGGAAGAGATGGAACAGGAAAAAGAGAAACCCATGTGGTAAGTGGCGGGACATAGTAGGAATGACCATACTGGAGGCTGGAGAGCAAACATGAGTATACGTGGCATGGAGTGGAAAGGGGACGTTCTGATTTTATGGTACGTGTGCATGTGACAGCCCTCCTCAGATCGGCCCTAGAGCTCATCCTGGAGGAATAGCTGTTTCCCAGGCTGCTGAAATGATTCATAGACAAGAGACACCGAGGTCCCCCTCCCCGGCAGGGGCTGTGTGGGTAGCAAGAGTGAGGAGGCGGGGATGGGGTCCAAAAGAGGAAGACCAGTGAACCACACCGGAATAAAGTTTTCAAAGCCAGGGGATCCTGTGGGTGAGTGGACAATTAAGCTGCGGTACACAGAGACAACAGAATATTATCCGGTGCTAAAAAGAATGGAGCCATCAAACTACGAAAAGACAGGGAGGAAACTTAAATGCCTATTACTAAGTGAAGCAAACCAGCCAGAAAAGGCTCCATACTGTGTGATTCCAACTATGTGACATTCCGGAAAAGGCAAAACTATGGAGACAATAAAAAAGATCAATGCTTATTGGGGGTTGGGAGGGAAGGGAGGAATAGGGAGAGCCCAGAGGCTTTTCAGGGCAGTGAAAATAGTCTGCATGATATCGTAATGATGGGCCCCTGTCGTTATGCCTTTATCCGTGCCCGTAGGATGCTCAGCACCAAGAGTGAACCACGTTGTAAACTATGGACTTTGGGAGGTGATAATGTGTCAACGTAGGTTTATCTGTTATAACAGAAGCTCCACCCTGGTTGATAGTGCGGGCACCGGGACTACGGGAAGTCTCTATAGTTTCCTGTGAACCTATAACTGGTTTACAAAATGAAGTCTATTTTTATTTTTTTTAAGATTTTTATTTATTTATTTGACAGATAGAGATCGCAAGCAGACAGAGAGGCAGGCAGAGAGAAAGAGGAGAAAGCAGGCTCCCTGCTGAGCAGAGAGCCTGATGCGGGGCTCGATCCCAGGACCCTGAGATCATGACCTGAGCCGAAGGCAGAGGCTTTAACCCTCTGAGCCACCCAGGCGCCCCCAAAATGAAGTCTATTTTAAAAAAATCCCGGTGAAGTGATTACACCTTTCTGTTAGAGTCTGGTCCACTGTGGAGTCAGAGACTTAAACTGGAATCTGAACCCCACCATGACCATCTCTGTAACTTTGGGCAAGTTACTTAACCCCTCTGATCTCAGTTCCTCTAAGTCTGCAGGACTGTAATGCCTTCCTCAGAGCATTTTGAGTATTGCATTAAAAATTTTATGTAAGGTATCTAACCCAGCACCCTGGATATGCACCAGGATAAATATATACAGTGCCCCCCAACTCTTCTCTAATGTCTGTGATTATTAAACATACCAAGTTCAAAGTCAGGCCAGTGGAAGAAAGCTGTCTGGATGAAAGTGACCTTCTACTAGGAAGGGAATCTGTGTGTTGGTGGTGGGGGGTGGCCCTGTGTGGTCTCACATGCTCAGTCAGGAATGCTGGCCACGGAAGGTCAGCCATGAACTTGAGCCCTGGGAGGCAATATCAAGCCCCTCACTCAGCTTTCTCCCGTGAAAAGGTCAGGGTGATGGAAGGCTGTCATATTTAGATGATGGCTCGTAGGGAAGCCTCGGT